GTTACAACAAATTGACGTTAATTTGCTTTAATGTTATAGATACTTCAAGGCATGTACTACTTATTCCTCTAAATGATCTGCTAGAAACTGTTTTTTCCCCCTTAGTAGTAGTAGTACTCAAATATCCAGCTTATTCTTAGCAAGTTACCATCAACAACATACATTTTTTTAACCTTTTAATTTTCATTTTGAATGTCTAGATAATAATCTTGCCTTCTAGGTGTTTCCTATCCCTTCTATTTTTATTTTATTTTTTTCCTGAGCTCTTCCATTCCATCAAATTGATTTTTATCTGTACTTATATAAAGCACCTACAACCTCTAAAATGGGAAAATATGTGAATAAAGGAATAAAAACTAAATTATCTGGTCCTTTGAAATAATTATTTCTAAGAGACAAATGAAATTCTCTCTTTTTCTGAAGTGAAACTGCAAGCTTATTTAACTTTACAGAATTGGAAGAATTATGCAGAACATGGTTCCAAACAAATCTATTAGTTAATACTCAAAGCACCATTTCATGAAATACTGAAAGTGGATTCCCAAAGCCCAGCCCAGGGGCAACAAGAAAGACAATGATTTAGGAAAACATTGTTCAGGGAGGATACCACTATTCTCTCCCCCATGGGTGCTAATTGCCACCTGTAATAATTTGCATAGAGATCCCTAAAAGATATGTCCAAGCAGATCCTGTGACCTTATTTGGTATAAGGGTTTTTCCCAAATATAATTAAGATAAGGATAAAGAGATGATATCATCCTGAAATCCAATGAAGAGTGTATCCTTAGAAAAGATTGAACAGGAGAAGACAGGGACACACAGAGGAAAGGTCAAGCAAAAAATGAGGCAGAAATCAGGGGTGGGATGGAGGCCACAAATAAAAGAATGGCAAGAATTGCCAGCGACCACCAGAAGGAAAGACAGAGGGAACGGTTCTCCCTAAGAGCCTCCTGAAGGAACCCGACATAGTGATACCACCATGAGAGTTTAATTCTGTTGTTTGTAGCCACCCAGTTTAAGGAAATTTGTTACAGCAGCTCTGGAAACTAATACACTATCTTAGGTCTCAAGAAATTCATACTTTCACAGATTCATGTTTTAAATTTTGGAACCTTTCTTTGTGAATTTAAATTTTGCTTAAAATGTCTTTTTAAAAGTAAAGTTTCTATGACATAGTTTTTAAAAAACAAAATCCCAAACACAAAGAGTAACTATTGGCCATATTAAATTGAAGGCATTTATACTTTAGCCTAAACATTTTAACTTTCCAGAATTTTACATACTTCAAAGACTGTTCAGCATCCCATAGTTATGTGGTTAATGAACAATGGTAATGATGTATGCTAGTATGAAAAGATGACTAAATATAATTAATGTGAACTTTATTTCTGTTATTTAGATAATGTCAAACATGGAATTCCTCAAAGTACAGTCATCAACATTCTTCGTGCATTGTGAAAATTAGATCTTTTGGACATTTTTAAAATGTTCCAAACAAAGATGATAATGAGCTACCACAGAATCCAGGAGACAGGAAAAAGGTGAGAAGAAAAATACTAAGATAAGAGAACTCATGCATGACAAATAATATTACAAGACAAAAACCTAAATGTATATGAGACTGTGATAAAAGTCTAGTTAATATTATTGTTCAGGAGAAACTTATATTTTGTACTAGAAAAAAAATAGTAGTGGTTCATTAAAGTAACGAGAGAAGAAACTTTAAAAATAAATGTGAGATTGAATGTGTTATAAAATAACCTGGGTGTTCTTTTCACTCTATTTATATTAATCTGTTGATGTCAACAAATAAGATCCAAATATATAGAAAATGGATTGATTGCAATACCTAATGCTACCAGAGGATGGCAGAATAAGGTCAAAACATGAACAAGTGCTAGTTTATGTTTCTCCCTCAGGATTTCTCAGTACCAAGTGATATGTCCAGTAACTGGCATTGTCAAAATATTTTTATTCAAAAACAAAACTTAGAAATGTGATATGTTTTGTTGGCTGGCTGACTTTTCTTGTTAGTGTGTTTTGTTTGGGGTACCGAGAAAAGAATAGAGAGACTATCACCCCAGGTAATAAACTATCCCTGTCACATCAAATCAGCCTAACAAGAAACTAAGCCTGTAAAAGAACTACAAACTTATCAGAGAAACTATTAAAAACAAACCGAGTTGCTTTATAAGAACTTCACAAAAGTTGGAGAGAAGAGAACTAATTATTCAACCATAGTCCTCCATTCAAAAACCTTCAAGGTCAGGGGCACCATTAATGAGGATTCAGCAAGTTCTCAACAGGAAACAGAAGAATTATTTTCCTACTAATGAAAATTCCCAGCATAGATTTTGCCAGGCATCTCTGCACTGCCCTTATTATCACACACCTTCTCCCATTTCACTCACCCAAACACTACACATGGTCAAGCCATTTAAGAAGATCTTCAATGGGAACTTAATGGCCAAGCAGGGGACACCATGAGGTAAAGGGAATATGGAAAACAGTCCTCAAAAAATTGTCAAACACTGTGTGCCTGCTGTGTGTGGGCTACCAGGTTCTGAGCTTTCAAAGGTAAGACCTGGTCTCTGCCCTGAAGAACTTAAAAGAGTCAGAAGCCACTGTCCACCTCTGAATCCTTCCATCCTGCAGGCTCTCTGAGAATTTACATTACCATGTAAACAGGCACTCTCAGGATCCTGGCTTAGTGCCAAGTCTATGAGGAAGCTCTGACATTTTATTTTCTCCCTCTACCTGAGTTTCTCAGTATTAGCTTTTCATCTTTGGGACTAAAATACCTGATGTAAACAATCTAAACAAGGAAAGGTTTATCTTAGCTCAGAATTTCAGAGGTTTCAGTCCGTGGTCCGACAGCTCTGTTGCTATGGCTGTGAGGTGCAAGTGGTGCAAGTGGCAGAGGAGAGCTGCTGAGCTCATGGCACTGACCTATTTCCCCCAACTATGTCCCACCTGCCTGTAGTTTTCACTACCTCCCATCATTCAATCAGCTATAAATGGATTAATCCACTGATGAGGTCAGAGTCCTCATGATCCATTCACTTCCCCAAAGCCCCACCTCTAGACATTGCTGCACTGGTCACCGAGTCTTCAACACATAAACCGGGTCCATTCCAGATCCAAACCACAACATTGACCCTTCTTTTCTTGACTGCTTGTCTGGATTTCTCCTGGTCCCATCTATTCCAGACAGCCTCCCTGGGTTTCTAGCTCCCTGCCATTGCAGGTATCTGAGGCTTGACCCATCTTCCCAGCCCAGGCCTACCTCTCCTAGACATGCCTCTGTTGCCCAAGCAATAACCAAGTCCTACCTCTGGACTTGAGGAAGGCTGCAGGTGGAATTGGTAAGAGTTAAGACTGTTGTTGATGGAAAAGCACCTCAAGGCCACCTACACAGGCAAAAGATAGAAAAGTCAATTCTCCAAGGGAACTACCAATATCTACACCATAACTTTGCAAAATATTGTACACCATTTGTTCTTTGTGGCAGTATTAAAAAAAATTATCTGAGGCATCATAACCTACTTTTTGCATTCTTATTTCTTGGGAATGATCCAACATAGAGGTTAAAGAACAAGGTCCAAGTTTCTGATTCAAGATCTATTATTTACCTATTGGTGATCTTGAATAAGTTACTTCACATCTCTGAGCTTCATGTATCAAACCAAGTTAAGAATAACACTTACCTCGTAGATATGTTATAAAGAGCAAATAAAATAAATTATGTTAAAGATCTTTGCATGGTTTTTGGCACAGAATAAATGGTCAATAAATGTTAGGATAAAATAGTTTCATGTTAAAAAAACTTTTTTTCATTTTTTAAAACTGTTTTCTAAGTATTTAAGAATCAGAAACTAATATGGTTATGAATTTTTTATTGATATTTTTATTCTGAAAATCTTAAGTAGCAAATATATAAAATATCCAATTAATAAGAACCAGTTTTCATATCTGATTAGTCATTCACCAATTCCTGTAGAGCTGCTAATTCAAGCTTCGCTTTTCAATCATTTCCCTTCTTCCACTTGCAGTTTTAATTGGATTTCCTTTTTACTACAGACTTGGAGCAAATACATCAATTAAAAATTTTTTAAGGCAGGAATATGTGTGAAATGAAAAGTAAACCTTTCCCTCCTACCCATAACTTCCTATTCCTTTCTCAGAACAATCGCTATCTTTATCAGGCTCTTCCCAATTTTTCAAACCTCTGAACACATTTGTGTCACACCAAGGTCATACTGAAATAGCCATCAACACCTTGCTTCTTCATTTAACACAATAACATATCATACAAAATGACAGTAAGTCTGCCATATCATTTTCAATAGCTGCATAAATGATAGCCCTTTGCTAAGATGTAACACACTTCAAGCTGCCCTTTTGAAAGGCATTTACTTATAGTTTCTGTTTGTATAAATAGCAATATTTTATATACTTTTGCAAGAATGCAATATATGTAGGACAAATTTCTATAAATGCCACTAATAGATCAAAAAAAAAATCAATGCTGTGTGTGCGTGTGAGTATCTGTGTGTTTGTGTGCACACACACACACGCATGCTAGGAATTGATCTCAGGGCCTCACACATGTTAGGCAAGAGATCTACCAATAAGCTACATCCCCAGTCCTTTTTTTATTTTATTTTGGGACAGGGTCTCCCTAAGGTGCCCACACTGGCCTTGAATTTGTAATCTTCCTGCATCAGACTCCAGAGCAGCTGGGATTACAAGCACTCACCACCACACTCAGCTTTCCTGCATAATTTATCTTTTTGCGGAAGTATATTTTCAGGAAATAAATATAGGAAGGATTATAGACCAAAAAAAAAAACCTAAAGCTAAGGATCAATGTTATCAATGTTATCTTAGCATTCTGTTAACTTAGCATTCTGTAACCATATGCTCCCATGTCCTTGGAGCTTTAAGGTGCCCTAATCATGATGAAATGGTCCCTCCTGAGCTACTGCTATTAATGGAGCTCATGAATCTGGTTTAACATTGGACAAAATGGTTTTAGAAGTCATCTGCTTACAAAAGTGCGGTAGCGGGGATTCTGCTATCTTTATGCTTCTCTTGGTCCACATGTGTTTTGATTTGTGAGAATAACGTGACTTAGAAGATTGTGCAGATCCTGAACTCTGAGACTGGGGAGATGTCCTCTGAGTGAGGTTCCTGGAAATGGCTCTCTGAAGATTGTTCATGGAAGCCCCTGCAGCCATAGTGATCACCCAGGGATGGTCCAGCGCCTGGCCAGCCGACATTCGATGACTAGCCTCCAAAATCAGTAGTTTGTCTATAAAGTCCTTTGCCAAGTGGGAAATATTTGGCCAAGGCTGGGAAGAAAAATAAATGAGCAAAAGATAATAAATAAAAACCCACACAACGATATTCATATTCTTGAACAGATCAATGTCTATCAAATCCAAAACACTTTTTCAAATAAACAATTTGAATACTATGTTACTGTAATATATTAATGAACCTAAAAAGTCACTTTTGGGAGAGACCCTCAATAAGTTTTCTTTAGCAAAAAAAAAAAAAAAAAACAAGCAAACACAGAAATTCTCCTCTAAACTCTCTGACCAACAAATGAGAATTTCTTCAGAAATCTGTGCAGCATGCTACCATTCACAGCCCACATTCCCACATCACGTTGACAAGAACTGGACCAGGCAAAGCTGTGATTTTGATAAGCCCCATCAATAAGTTAAGAGTTTATCACACTGCGATCATCTCCCAGAGTCCCTGTGACTCCGAGAATGAGCTAGAATGGAATGCCAAATGGATTGAGGAATTATCCATTTTTCTCTCCCTTTGAAAACTTACTCTAAACTCAGGATGCCTCTGCCTCCACTGCCTGGAGAGAGAAGAACAGTCAGGGCAATTCAGCAAAGGATCCTGCCGTGGTGAATTTCCTCAAACACACAGGGCCCTCTTTGTTCCCAATCAGTTGACTACAAATGGAATTCAGCATGGAGTAAAGGTACAGCACAGTGTGGGCTGCACAACCAGCTGCCTGAGGGTTCAGACTCCTTCTGTCAATATGTCAATATGTCAAATTACATACACCTGAAGTCCAATAGGAGCAGTTACAGCAACATTTGTAAGATGGGGACAAATGAGCTATTGTTTTTATACTTAAATTTGTTTTCATACTTAAATTTGTTTTCTGCATTACTTACCAACATATAGGGCTGAGGCTGTAGCTGGATGGTGACACATTGCCTAGTATGAGACCTTGGGTCTGATCCCAGTAAACACAAACACAAGCACATACACACACACACACACACACACACACATACATACACACACACAATAATGATAATAAATTTTTAAAAACTAACTACCAACTACATAGCAAATACCTGGGGGGGGGACTAAGTTCTGTATCAACCAGCCTCTACAAAGAGAGAAACATTTTAAAAATTGCCCATTTTCTGTATCTAAAACACAATTTCTAGTGGGTGCATTTTTTTTAATATATCCAATCTATTGCCATTATCCTTGTGTAAGGAAAAATCAACCTCGATAGGTAGACATCACACACTCTAATTTCTTAGCATTCTGTTAAGGTTTTTTTTTGGTTTAGTTTATTTAGATAAATGAGATATGAGAAATATTTGCTCCAAAAATAGGAGCCATGAAATAAATGAACATATTTTTCAAATATCAAAATGTGGGGGAAATAAAAAGCACACGTTACTCGTCTAGACAAAGCACATCCGGGGCTGACACAGGGACTCGCCCTCTGATTCTGGCTAGACATCTGTTTGGCCCTGGATCCAGACACATTTATCTGGGCTCAAGATTATTTAAATGAAAGTTAAATTAGATGTCTCCAATGGAACATTTTAGGACAAGGAAAACTGAATCTTTCTGGAAAGAATATAAAACATTATCAAGGTATATGGAGAGCTCTTTAAAATGACCCTAAATGAATGAACATTAAAAACAGCAATTTCAAAAAATAAGGTAACTGGTGTGCTGGAAAAGAAGTTCTTCAGCCAAAGCTTATTATTCAAATACAAGTTATAAATTACACAATTCCTGAGCCATAAAGAACAATCAGACGGTATCTATGAGTCAGTTTCACATTGCATGAGAAAAGGGCAGGTACAGGAAGAAAACAAGCTTCTATTTTATTTTTTATCTTCTTATGCCAAATTTTATTTTTGCCTATGTTTAATAAGGCAAAAAATAAACTAATATCTATGCATGCACATAGTCTACAAATGAATAACAACTGAGTGAGAATGCTCAAAATTTTTTCAACTAATAATGATATATGATCAAATACAATTAGGAGACCACACAGTGAATTAAATTCCCACTCTGGACCAGGAGTCACCTGATGACATCATTCAATGCCTTCATCTATGTTTACATCAACATTCACTTTAACATTCAATGAAGCTTTCCTCATAATTTCTCTTCCCAGGCTCAGCCATCCCCACTGCCTCCAAAATTCACCTTAGTCTGACTGTTTTCAGCAATCTCAGGTTGGGTTAGGGCTGGCTTGGGTTCAGCCTGTTAATCCACTTTATTGAGGAAAAAACAAGAGACTGAGGTCAGTGGGCCTGAACTAGACAGTCTGCCCAGCCACACACAGCTCTGCAACCTCAGATGACAGCTTCCTCCCAAAAATTGGGATCCTAATATCATTTTCACAAGAGCACTACTAGGATCAAATTGAGTATATAAAAATATTCAATATTATATTGATTTTTATTATTGTTTTATGAGTTACTACTAAATCTTCACAACTTAATTCATTCCTTAGCTCTTGTGGATATATTTGCTGATATGTAGAGAAATGAAATATGAATATTATCCAATACTTGCCAGACTAGTTCCACATATTATTACCATGGGAAATGGGTGCCCTCAAAAAAATAATATTGACTGGGGGTGAAGGCCAGCGGGTAGAGTACTCACCTGGCATGTCAGGCCCTGGGCATTCCCCCAAAAAAATGTTCTGGGATAATTAACTATGTGAAAATAAAGATAGAACTTTCTTTCATGCAAAGATGGTTTAATTAATTTATTTGCAAGTAATAAATAATATTTGTAAGTGATTCAGGAGCTTTTATCCATCTTCTTCTTTTTCTCATCTGATTCTGGTTCTTTGCCAATTAGTAGGTTGAAGTCTATGCAAAAGATTGATAAGCATATAAAAACTGATTTTAGAAATGAATAATATTCCTGTGACTAGTCAAAGCTTTCATATTTCTTAGCTCCTTTTCAGAAATGCCCACAGAGAATCATTAAAAGTATCTTTCTAAGATCAAGCATGACAAACACAGATACGCACACCACAATCTCTTAAGTTCTTAATACAAAACTTTGAATTTTAGGGTTGCAATTAATGTTACAATTTTCTAAATATAAAGTTTATTGATGAATATGGTACTTATTTTATTGATGGAGTTAAATATTTTCCAAAAAATCTACAAATATCTATTTAAAAAAAAACAGATGGGGGTGTTATGGTTGTGGCTTAGTAGTAAAGCACTTGCCTAGCATATGCAAGGCTCTGGGTTTGATTCCAGCACCAAAATAATAATAATAATAAGAAGAAGAAGAAGAAGTTATAATTCAAATCCTTGCATGAAAACCTTTCAATGTAGCATCTGTCCCCTAAAAAAATAATAATTTTAGTAAAAATTTCTATTGGTGACAACCCTCTAACTTGCATTCTCCTTCCTTCTTTAACATTAGTGTTTGGTCTTCATAGTATTTAACTCAAGGCTTCGAAATCAAATTTTATGCAATGTGCCCAAAAGGACAGATTAACTCCCCAGGACTGCACTGGCAATAAACTCAGGGAAAAGTATTCTTTCTCAAACAGCAGGAGGTTCCATAGATTATTTTATGTCACCGATATTCAATGTTTTTCTTTATTCCCCATCTATAAAGCAGACTTTAAATTGTGCTTTACCTTTGCCAAAGCTGAAACTGCTCCGAGACACAGTTTAGACTAATTATATCAGATTTAAAATGTTCCCTTTTCCCGGGCATTTGCAAACTCTGGAAAAAGTGAATTCACATTTACAGGTTATAGGTGACATATAATTTAAACATGGAGAGGTAATTAACCCCATCTCGGGCTCAAAAAGAGGTCATTTTCATGAGTATAGAGGCTCTACCATGAGGGCAGAGATCCCACTTCTTTACCAACCAGGAAAATGCTGAAATTGAAGAGGATTGAGTAGAGTTAAAGGTTTTTGAGCACCTATCATTTTTTGAAGCATCAGAAGTTGAAAAGAGGAGTGTTCCATTTTTTCTCCGAGGAAAGAACCTAAGAAGAGTAATCAAAACAAACAGGTTACCTCTTAACTCCAAATCAGCAGTTGATTTATTCTTCTATACCCAACATACGTTTTACAAATAATTCCTATAATATGGCTCTCAGAAGCCATGATATAAATAATATAAACACAGTATCAAATCCAGATACTCCCAGGTCTCTAGCACTTTTATACAGGTAAAACTTTTCCCCTCAGCTCCTGATTTCATTGTTGATATCAAGGTGAAGAGTGCAGCAAAATCAAAGAAGCAGATGACATGGCTTCTCTTCCACTCTGCTTATCACCCTCCCAGTCCAGAGGTAACATCAGCACAGACAACACAATGCAAACCAACTCCAGGCCCAAAGAATACTCATTGTCTGGGGTTGGGTTTCAGGGAAGATTTGTATGTGTTCCCTTGAAGGTAACTCAGAGCAGAAATGAAGGAAGTGACAGAGTGCAAATTAAGCACATTTCCTGAAATTTTATAACTACTAAAATGAAATTGGGGTTGTGTCTGGTGAAAATGAACATAATCTATCAAATTGTTACTTCTAAGGGAGTCTATCAATAAACTTTCCTCTAGGGATCATGGCTGAGCCTAAGCAAGTGGGGATAATTTTTTATCAATGTCCATGTGGGTTTTTAAATAAATATAAAACACAAACACACACACACACACACACACAGATACACACACACGTTTTTAGTGCAGGTGTTTATCCTTGATACCTGGTTCATACAGTTGTAAGATTCATTTTACTATTAAATTATTTCCCACCCAAAAAAATTCACTGTGATATAGGGGAGTACACTTAGACAACTCATTGGCAAGAATGCTTACAATGTATCATTAGTATTAAAATTCTAACACCAAACCTTGCTTACTATTCCATTTAAAAGATAAAAAAGTTACACTTGGTAAATAAGTTTTGTACTGTTAAAAAAATATAACTCATAACTTACTTGAGTTATATGCGAACTTTCAACCCCAGTTTCCCATGTTAATAGTAACAATAACAGAAATAGCTAACACATAAATAGCACCGACTCTGCTTGGAACACATGTGGAACTATTCTAAGTACTTACATCTATTCGTTCATTTAATCTTTGCCACAACCCTACGGCTTTACAAACAGTAATGGAAGCTCTCATCCTATTTAATGTGGAAACAGAAATACAGAGAAGTTAAAAAGCATGATCAAAATTGCACAGTTAGTAAATGGCAGAGCTGGTAGTGGAATCTAGCCAGTATTGTTCCAGATTGTGTTCCTAACCATTCTATTGCACTGCATTGTGAAATATTTACATCAGCAATCATGTATGTACATACACGCGTATGAGTACACATACAAGCTCAGAAATTCTTACATTTAATAGACAATTTATTCTCTTTTATGTGCTTTCCCATATGTTGTTCTGTTTGGAATATGTTTATCTCCTCCCTTTAAGAAACTTCTCACCTTTCCTCCAAGACAGCACAAATGTCACCTTCTTAATGGAATCTGACCCAAGTCTCCGAAACAGTGATTGTCCCCCTTCCATTGCTCCCACAGTACTATAGGGTAGACCTTAAGTATCCCCCAAAGGGCAGTGCCTTAAGGGTTTGGTGGCCAGGATAGCAGAACCTGTAAGAGGTGAAGCCTAGTTGGGCCTGGAGACTTCATGAAAAAGAACATATTTCATACTAAAATCCAAAACAGTTAAAATATTAATATTAGAGCTAATTTTTACTTATATGTGAATGGGGCTAATGCATAGATTGACTGGGTTTCTAATAAAATATTTGGTATTTAGAAGGCTTGGGATATAGCTTAGTGGTTAGATCACTTGTCTAGCATGCTCAAGGACCTGGGTTCAATTCACAGAACCAAGAAAAAAGAAATTGGATGTTTATATTAAACATATCACTCTTCTTCACCATAGGGGCTATATACAACATGGATCCCAGGAAGCTCTCAGCCTATTTAATTCACTTTGTCCACCTGAATTCCAGAGAAGAAACTCAGATGCACATAATACATCATTCCTGAAATTTCTGTTATAGAGTTAAAGATGTTTTCTTTTAAAGGCAAATTTTCTTAGAGATCTGTAAACCAAAAGTTCAAAATTGGTTTTATAGGCTAAAATTAAGGTGTTTCGAGAGCTGCATTCCTTATAGAGTCTCTGGGAAAAAAATTGTTCCTGGCCTTTTCTAGTTTCTTATTACTGCCCTCATTCCTTCATTCATGTCCCCTTCCTCCATCTTCAAAGTATGTCACTCCCACCTCTTTCCATAGCTATCTCTCCTCTAACTTTCACCTACTATATGGACCCAAATAATCCAGGATGATCTCCCCATCTCTAGACTCTTAACTTAGTCGCTTCTGCAAATTCCCTTTTGTCATATAAGACAACATTCCCAGGTTCAGTGTATTAAGATGTGGACATGATTAGTGTGACCTTTATTCTAACATCTGAGCTTTCAGATGAGGTGGTCACCCTAATTTTTAAATAAATTTGTGCATTAGGAATTAATAAGCTTGTCAATAAGTGCTAAGTAGACAATAATATAATGACAGACAAAGAAAAAAACCATGATGATATACTTTTTAGGGTCTATCACCATGACTCTGAGGTGTTTGGGACTGAATGTTTCTGCACCCAAAAAAATTGTATGTTGAAACTCTGATCCCCAAGGTGGCTGTGTTCAAAGATGTGGCCTCTAAGGGAGTAATTAAGGTTGAAAAGAAGTAACTAAGGTTAGGGGCTGGAGAATAATAGCTCAGTTGGTAGAGTGCTTGCCTCAAATGCCCAAGGCCCTGGATTCAGCACCACCAAAAAAAAGAGAGAGAGAGAGAGAGAGAGAGAGAGAGAGAGAGAGAGAGAAGTAACGAAGTTAAATTAAAGGTAAAGCCCTGGTCTGATAGTACCTTTATAAGAAGGAACACCAGAAGGCTCTTTCTGAGCACCCAAGGACTAGGCTGAACACCCAAGGACTAGGCCATGGGAGCATACAGCAAGATAGAAGCCATCTACAACCTAGGAGAAGAGGCGTCAGACTGAAACTACTTTGCCAGCCCTTTGATCTTGGACTTCCCAGTCTTCAAAACCATGAGAAGTAAATGTCTATTGTTTATGTCACTCAGACTGTGATTTCTGTTATGGTCTCCTAGGCTGACGAATGAGTGCCTGGTCACCATGAGGAAGACAGTCAAGGGAATATATAAACAATAACTTATTGTAAGTGCTACACTCTCACAGCTGTCAGTACTCTGGGGCTACAGACAGGCATCTCCTAGAGGAACAGAGGAGCCTTGGGGTTTCTACTGTGGAGAAGGTGTTCGTGCTCCATCTGGACTCCAGGCCCCTCTTTTTTGTATGTAGGCACATAGCGCTCCTTTAAAGGGCTTAACTCCTAAAATCCAGCACACTTGACTCTTTTATTTGCCTGTACCCCAGAAAGCTGGAGAATTTACCACCAGCAAAACCCCACTTGAGCAGCAGAGAGGTAAGCATGTGCAAATCTACCTCTCTGACTCTGGACAACACTGATATGTAACTTCTCTGCTGAATGAGGTGGACCCTCTGTGGCCTGGGCCCCTGCACTTCCCTGTCCTGCTACCCCCACCACCTGCTCTGCCCCCCTGGGAGTCTGTCCCTAGCAAATCACTTGCACATGAATCCTCTTCTCAGGATTGCTTCTGGGAAAACAAAACTTAGAAATCCTCTGAATTAAACCTGACAAAAAGACTTTTAACAGAGTATTGTCATTATTTTTTCACACTAAAAAAATGTGTTGAGATATCTGGTCCAAATATGGCCCCTCAATGGAGGACACCATCCAGTAGCCACACTCCATGTGATTTCCTCTCACTTGGAATGAGGTGGAAGTGATCCTGTGCCATTTCCACATCCAGCCTTAAAGATAACTGCCAACTTCCACTCTCTCTTTTGGAATACTCCATTTTCTGGCTGCCCTGCTGGAGAAACAGCATGCAGACAATGACACCCTGAAAGGTCAAGAGAGGATAATGAACCAGGTTTCCAGCCACCCTGACCAAGATGTCAGATATTTCCAGTCCAGTCCCCAGATGACTACAGTCCCACCCCGTAGCATGGGGAGCAAAATTGCCCTAAGATGAGCCCCATCAATCCACAAAATCATGTGCCATGATAAAATTGGTATTGCTTTCAGCCCCTATGTTTTGGTTATCTATTATTGCACAACAAACTGTTGCAAAGATAGATAACCAAAACAGAAATATATGTTACTTGTACACAAAACAAATACAGGGATATAAAATATTTAAAACAGAAAAAAGAAAACAAAATGATCCATAATTCCCAAACCAGCTCTTTTTTTCCATTTGGCATATATTGTGAACATTTTCAAATGCCCTTAAAATTTTTAAACAGGCATAAATCAGGAGCTAGAATACTGTATCATATCGATATTCCATAATTTATTCACACATTCTCTTAGGATAATATTTGTAAATACAACTCATATGAACATCTGAAAACTTCGCTGCATTTGGGATTACTTCCTCAGAGTCTTAGAAGGGGAGCCACCAATCAAAATATGTACATTTTTTTTAATATACTTCTAGATACAATCAACTTTCCAGGAAAACTGTGACAATTCTCCCTCTACCAGCAATAAATGAGAGAGCTTAGTAGCATTTAGCAGCAATGATTAGAATTAATTGAGAATTTTTCAATCTGAAAGACAAAAAGAAGGATATTTTTGTTTTCAATTGCATTTCTTTGGTCATTAGTGAGTGTGGACATTTTAAAATTTTTAATAATCAACAGTATTGCATTGTATCAGTATTTTTCTTTATGAAAAATTCAAAGTAAAATAAGTTGGGTCACTTGTCCTACATAAAATGAATTTAGTATTTTGTTTAGCTCCCCACACACAATCCTTGGCAACTTTCCTTTCCTGGCCAGAGCAACTAAAAGTGAACACATTCATGAGCACTGAGAGTTCTGAGTCTAAACAATGGATAAATGCTTTACCCAAACTGGAAGCTTACACATTTCCCAGAGTAAACACTATATCACAAAAAGAGATTGGATCATCTAGATTTGAGGCAGAAAATCCGTTTACCAAACAGCTAAGCCCCATGCAGAGATTCTAAGGTACACATTACTCTATTTGCCAGATCAGGCCCCCAGTACTGAAGGAAGGGAAAAAACCTTAACTAACTCACTTATCTGAAATACTAGCAGTTCAAGGGCTAATTATAAAGCTCACAATCAAGGCCCTTGGTTCCTTGAGACCAAGAGCTCTCAATCAGGGACAATTTTGCCCAATGAGGAACACTTTCAATGACACTTTGGATGTCACAACTGGGGAAGTTGAGTTACTGGTAACTAGTGAGTAGAGGCCAGAGATGGTGCACAGGACAGCCCCCATTCCCCCCTCATCCCACCCCCCAGACTCCCACTCCCACCAATACAGAATCATCCATCCTTAAATGTCTAAGAAACTTTATTCTAGGCCTACACAACAGGCATAAAGAATGTTCTCTTACCTCTCCTGTATAATTATATTTGCCTTTCAGAATCTTCCTGTAAAGTCTCGTATGGCTTTCATCATCAAAAGGCAGGGATCCGCTAAGTAAAATGTATGTGATTACACCCAGAGCCCACATATCCACGGCACCGGTATAAGGTTTCCTTAACAAAATCTCGGGGGCCATGTACTCTGGGGTCCCGCAGAGCGTCCTCATGGTCCAATCACCACTTTTGTTCCCAGAGTGTGCTAAACCAAAATCTGTGATTAAAATTTTCGACTCCGCACCTGGATGATAGTATAAGAGATTTTCAGGCTTTAGGTCCCTGTGAGTTATTCGCAAAGCATGCAAATACCTAATGCCATCAGCAACCATGCAGAGGATTCTGACAGCATCCCGCTCTGTAAATGATCCCTGAGCAACCAGTCGATCAAAGAGCTCCCCTCCTGTAGCCAGCTCCATCACCAGGTAAACTCGATCCTGGGCCTCGAAGATCTCCTCAAGCTGGACAATGTAAGGATGGCTAACTCGCCTCAGGACACTGAGCTCAGCCTCACACGCTTCCCGCCCTTCGTTCACTCTGGTTTCCATCACCTTAATGGCAAAAGGCTTCTTGGTGGTCTTCCGCTCCACCCTGACAACCTTGCTGAAGCTGCCTGTACCAATGATGGCCTTGATGTCATATCTGTTGGGGAAGAAGATCCAAAGCCATTGTCCTCTGAAGTGATGAGTCTCAAAATTATTGAAGTCCAGGCTTTATGTCATCTTTCAATCCTCATACCCCCCCACCAGATTTCCTTGTTTATTACTGCTCACATTCATTTATTAATTTATTGTGATACTGGGGATTGAACCCAGAGCCTTGTGCATGCGAGGCAAGCATTCTACCAACTGAGCTATATCCCCAGCCCTCATATTTATTTTTGAAAGCTACTTCAAATCCTTTGTTGAAATGGAGGCAAATGAAAAAAGGGTCTTTAGTTGGTAGAAAGACAGTCTTAATAATAATAGCTACCATTTATTATGTGCCAGGAATTTTTGTTTTAAATTTCAGCCCTATGGAAACCCTAGTAGGTGACATGATAATAAACCCCCTTTCTCAGATAAGGAAATTAAAGCTTAAAAAAAAAAAGACTTCCCTAGGCCTCACAGATGGTAGCTGAAATTGATGGGATTCAAATTTAACCCCTTTAAATGTTCTTCACTTCAATTTCCTAAAAGAATTTTAGGGCCTCCCTCTACTCTTTTCTTTCCTTCCTCCAACACTTGTTTCTATCATTCTTCCCCAGTAATAGCCAAATCAGGTGGAGAGAATAAAAAAGAAGCTTACTCTTGTTTCTAAGTTCTGAATAGAGGGAGAATACCGTCATAGGAGCAAACAGTATGTTCCTTTGGGTTACCTGACTTTGGGCTCTTGTCCCAGGCATACCTCGTCCACAGTAGATCTTAATACAGAAAAGTAAACTTGGCTGAGCTATCTGTAACAGCAGGTTTCAGAGGTCTGGTGGGAGTCGTGTTAAGGCCACCCTGAAGCCTCAGCTTTCCACAGTCTCCACCCCGTTCTTCTACATTTGCAATTTCTAAGCAGCAAAGAGAATTTTAACACAGGATATATGTCAATCATGTGTCAACTAGTATCTCACAAAAAGGCCAGGAAGTTAGCTCAGATTTTATATGCTAAGGATCTTACATTTTAATATATAAACTTCTACTTAAATTTAAGAATCCTATCCAATTTAGCCTTCTACCTTTATTGAAGAAATGTTGAAAAAGTGCTAGACTTAAAAGCTCCCCCCCCCCACTTTTTTTTTTCCAGCAGAAGCAATATTTAACCCAATTCCTCATTATACAGATGAGGAAATCTGAAAAACAAGTTAGTCAATTTTTTTTGCTTAAATGAGGACTAGAACCCAGATTTTCTTACTTGCACCATAATTTAGTATTCTCTCTTTTGAAAATCTCTCCCAAGGAAGGATGCTAGAGAATGGAATGTATCCAGGGAGAAGGCAATTCTTTAAATCACATACTCAATACCAAAGTTTCAAATGCAAATATCAATGTATTTTAAATGGCCTTATTTCTTTTTCTGAGCTTATTCTTATAATTTTTATTTTTGCTATTTATTTGTTCCTTATATTCCTGGGCTTACTGAGTAAAAATGACATTTGGCTGTACCAGCTTACAGAAAGCAGCTTTTGTTCTACACAGTGCATTTAATTTTCTGGCCAATTACCTTATCAAAACAGATAGCAATTTAGTAATCTTAAATAGATTTTCTCCCTCTTCCTTGTCCAACTCTGCTTTTTTATTCACATACTTTCTCAGTGTGATTTCGAAGATAATCACAGGCATTTCAAATCCTATTGCTTTTCAGATCAAGTTTTACATTACCTCTAACGTGGATGAAAGCACTTTGCAAATACTAATTTATCGCTATACCCTCAAAACTGCAAGCAAACTCATTTGCTCACAGAATTCATTGTTAGTTATCAAACAAAATACCATTTTTCAGGAACTATAATCTTTTGCTCAAATAAAAAGAGCTTTGTTCAATACTGTTAAATACAAAATATTTAGGGGGAAAAATGCTAGTGATTTGGCAGAGAGGCAAACAGGAGGCTTCAAGCCAAGATTTAAAGCAGTGGAAATAACATTCTTACTTTGATTAACGACCTGTGCCATGTTCCGTAACAAATTCCTGCAACCTCAGTTTTGCCTGGTAGTCCCTGCCGGACATAGATCTTGACCACTTCTGACTATGACCTTGTGTAGTACATAGCACAGAAGGGCAACAATAAATGTCCAATGAGAGACTCATTCCCAGAATATATATTTTTCCTGAATCATTACATACATTTTGAAAACTTTAAGTGGTGATGAAATCAAGCAGAGGAAAATGCTTTTATGAGGTCTTTCCATTTCCTCCACTTTCACTCATCCATTCCCACCTCTCACAAAGCAGCCTCAAAGTCACTTTTATAGACAGTGCAATTTCACATCATTCCAGATTGTGTAAATTGAAAATATTACCTTAACCTCAGCTGCTACAGCAGGGAATTTTTGAAAATGGGTAAAAAAAATTAAGTAGGGGAGCTAGGGATACATCTCAGTAATAGAGGGCTTTCCTGGCATGTACAAGGACCTGAGTTCAATCCCCAGCACCTCAACAAAACAAAACATGGAAATAATAATACTGTAATATCACTGCCTGTATGATGAAGCAATGATAATGAGCTCCCAAAAGAAAGTAAATATAGTCAGATTTACATTCTATCATCTCTTTTCTGCTAGAGTGATAAATGGAATCAAAATGGGAAGGAAAGAGAACTGTGCTCCCAATTCTGCCACTAACTTGGACAAGTCACTTAACCTTCTGGGATTCAACTCTTCATCAGTTAAAGACGGGCTCTGAGTTAGTCTCGGAATCCTTTAAAATGTTACTCCTCCTTTACGCTCAAAGGGGTGGAAATTACTGTGGTAATAAAGAACAGATCCAGTAGAATAGACTCCCTGACTGTAGGTGACCAGAGGTACCACTTAACCAATTCAGTGTTGGCAAGAGCCTGTGTCCATTCAGATCAAAGTTCAGTCACATCAGCCAGTTTGGCTCTTCTCTTAGCTTAGTAGCTATTGGACTGATCCTTCACTCATCATTGTAAAGCTCTCCAGGAAGCTGGGAATGGCTCTGCATGGATTCACTTTGATGAATTGAGCATATAATTCTAGGTCTACAAGTGTGGACGAAGCACACTGGGTCACCCATCACTGTGTCCTCCAAACACTGCAGAGCAAAAGGGGATTCCGTGGCTCCCTTGGTTGACATGTCCAACATGACACTCTGAGGAAATTAGTTCTCAGGCTAATCCACCTGCAATCTGCTCATTTCCTACATAGGGCTAGCTAGGTCTTAATTATTATTTCATGAAGACAAAAATAAGGATTGGCTCAGTGATAGAGTACTCCCCCCAGCATGTGGGAGGTCCTGAGCTCAACACCTAATACCTCAAGAACTAAAAAAGAAATAAAATAACTATCGCACTACTATCTAAATGAGGCCTTGTGCTATGCATTGCACAGCACGATTTACACATATTAGTTTAGTTATCCTCACAACAATGCAATAGATATTATCATTCCCATCTTACAGAGGCAGAAATTGAGAAAGAAGAAAGGCAAAGGAACATTCCAAATGGCACATGACACAAGAGGTGCTAGTGGATTGGGAGTCTGACTCAAAGGCCCATTCTATTCCATTAGTTACAATCTCACTTTATAGGATTTAAGAAGATACTTGGAAATCAAGTCTGCTGGCCCAGCCCTAGCATATGAGTGGCAGTGCTACTCCCCTTACAGAGCTTGGGAGGCTTGCTCCTTCCAGCTCCAAGGGCAGGAATTCCCTCCCTCTTCTTGCTGCTGCTCTGGTTCTCCTTTTCCTCATCTCTGTACTCCTTGCTCAGAGATGTCAAGAAGAACTTGTATTGGACACTTACTAAAAACAGCAGGGAAACCTCTATTCCAGACTATCTCAATAGTAATCAAGACTGCAGTAGCAGAGAGAGTGAACTCAACTCAACTCTATTTTTTAAAAAGCAAGAAAAGTTTCAGGAGCGCCACTGCAGAAGTACTGGAGGTCGCTGTGGGCATGACAGCCATCAGTGCTTGCTGATTGATTCCTGCTGAAGTCTTCTCCCACCCTCCCACAGAGACTGGGAGATAGTGGCCCTAAATCTTCCTTGAGGATTACAATTCAAAAGGATGATTTGGATGCCCTTGAAAAAGATGTTCCTTTCTCAAAGGAGAAAGAATTTAGGGAGATCTGAGGTCTATAATCTGGAATAAACCTGTCTAAAGTTTAGGCAAGCTGACCTGAAAGTTAAGGCAGTCTGGTCAATAGTTTATCTTTCTCAACCCAATCCTAGGACAGTCCCTCCTGGTGCTTCACCTGGCGCTTTACCTGGCGAGGACCCGGGAGTCGAACTTGGCTCGGAAGCGGGCCACCTGCATGCTCTGAGCTGCCTGAGCCGCCACCTCCTGCCCACCTCCCACGCTGCCTTGGCTTTGACCCTCTGGCTTGACCTGGGCCAGCGCGGGAAGCTCTGGGACCACCTTCTTGCTGGCGCCGCAACCCATCTGGGGCGCTCCGGGGGAGGTGGGGGCTGAGCAAGTAGCTGAGCCTCTCTCATTTATCCTCAGGACAGCTGGAAGGGGGAGGAACCCGTGACCTGCTCCCAGGGGACTTTGAAAGAGACCCCGGGGAGGTCCCAGTTAAGAGGATAAGCCTCCAAGTGCCCCCGCTGATGGTCACAGTGCCTTGATCAACATTGACCAACTATTTATATGTAAAATTTAACAAGGTTAAAAACAAGGTGGACTAGAAGGCAGGAGCCTGGGCTTAACCCTTTGGGCCTCCCTTTTCTAAAGGTCTCCAAATTGGGAAGAAAGTGAACATATAAAATCATACAGTTCCATGGAGTATGTAGTCCTTCTGAAGAACTCTTACGTTTCTGTAGCTGAGCTCATATTCAGATGCCATGAACATTATCACTGCCAGGCGTGTTGGTGCACACTTGCAGTCCCAGCAAGTAGGAAGACTGCAGGTTCAAGGCCAGCTTCAGCAGCTTAACTTTTGAAACTCTGTCTCAAAAAATAATTAATAAATAAATAAGCTGGAGATGTCACTCAGTAGTAGAGTGCTCCTAAGATTCAATCCCCAATATCTCCCACCTTCAAAAACAAAAAACAAAAAAAAACAAAGCAAAACAAAAAACCCTAATACATCAATTAGACAGTGGAGGCTGGTCTGTGTCTGGCACTACACTAGCCCTCTTACAACTGTAAGAGACATGACCTTGATCCTCTGGGTAATCCTTCTGAGGCAGAAGAACAGTAGATATCTAGAACCCAGATGAATATCCTAAGCAAATGCAAAAATAAAATGTTTTTTAAATTACATATTTAAAATATATTATATAATAAATGTATACAATATATTTAAAATATATTATAATCATATTTTCACACATTTCATTCATTCATTTATCTATATACATGTACTATGTGAGAGTGCATATATGCAATATATACAATATGTTTATTCATATTTGTCTCATAAGTATTATTTTATACATTGATTTTATCACTATATTGAATACATATTAATAAATTATATATGGTATATACAATTTTATACGTGTATGTGTGTGTGTGAATTATGTCGGAAGTGGAATTCAGTTGAGGTCAAACAAGTCAAGTTCACCTTCCTGGCAAGTTGCAGAACCCAAGATCAAGGTCAAATCTCCCAACTTCTGATCCTCTGCTCTTTAAATTGTGTCATTTCTTTTCTAGTTAAATTAATTTTTAGTTTGGTTTAATAAGACATGTCTATCATGGGTCAATTAGTCACAAGTTCCTGAAAGAACTGTATTTTGAAGGAAAATTCAACATATGGCTCAGGTACAGCTGAGAGAAAATAAGTCCATCCTTCAAAGGAACCAAATAAAGGACTTTTCTTAGTAAATAGCCCTCAGAATATTCCAGCTGCCAGGAGACAGGTTGATTCAAAGCTAGCTCAGTGGAAGAGTGCTTGCCTGCTTGCACAAGGCCCTGGGTTCAAGCCTTGTTGCTGCAACAGAAATAAGAAGAGGAAGAAGAAGAGAAAGAAGATGAATAACTGGTGCTTTTGGTCTCAAGCTTTTGAACTAATTTGCAGAATAGGCTATATAAGCTGAATGGAAAAGAGAAGGAAAAGGAAAGAAGGAATATCAAGGTGCCATTTAAAGAATGGTATCTGTGCCTCAGGGACCCCGGGAATAAGGATTGTTTGGTAGGTATGGTCTAACAAAGAGGATGGTCTAACAAATATCCCCTATTAATTCTAAACCTAATTCCATGGGGCAGACATTCCTTCTGTGTGTGGGGTTTCTCCCAGTAGTGTGCTACTTCATCATCGGCTACAAATCCTCTCATGTCCGACCCACATAGCTAGGAAACTTTGTGAAGGATCTCCCCCTAATCCTGACATGGTTCTTGAAAATTGGCTAATACAGTCACTGATTTTAAGCCCTTTTAAAAAATGAAAACATTGATGGAACCACTGATTGTTCTCTTTTGTGAAGCACCATTAACTGGAAGTGTTATTGATAAAATAATTCTGGCCTAGAGACAAAACTTAACTTCCTATAAGATAGTCAAGGGTGACACTCACATATGGGACACGTGCTCCATTCAGTGACAGGTTCCTTCCATGCTATACCCCATTTCTAAAAGCAGAGTTAGAAAGCATGTAGAGTTAAGTCCTAGGCAATGTCTTGAACAATGGAGATTGTGAACCCTAAAAACTTCCTAGAACAACTCTCTGGCTTGTATTTCACGCATTGATTTAATTAAGTAACTTAATTTGTGAAAGATATGCTCCACAAGTTATAAACCAGCCCTTAAAGAGTATTCCACTAAAAGGACATAAGAAATTGTGCTAAATTAAAACCTCATTAAAGGCAGTCTATCAGGGAAAACTCATTTTTCTCTTACATCAACAATATTGGTGGAAAACATGGAAAATATATAAATAATTCATATTCTACTCTCAGTCTTTTAGTGTACTTCAGTGAAATAAAGAGAGAAAACAAGTAATTAGGCGGTATCCCAGGGAGTGATATATTCAAAAGATCTACAATGCAATACCCTCCTACTTCCTAAAACTAAAAAAGATTTAACCGAAAGACAGTTTTAACAGGCAACATGAGAAATTCACTTCATTTAGAATTAGTTCTTCTTTGAATAGCTGTGATTTTGTTGTTGTTTTTCAAATTTTAGCTCTCTTTAGAGCCCCCCTGCTGGGATTAATTTTCTCTAAAGTGATCTCCTTCCTTAAACATCAGTTTAAAGGTGTTCAGTTTACTGACTTCTTTTCCCCAAGGTGTGGGATTTGTGTTTGTAATGACAACTGGCATGGGGCTCTTGTAAGCCCATTTCACATACCCCATGATGTGTGGAACTCACAATGCAAAGCACTCTCAGAGCCTTCCCATGAATAAATAATAATAAGCCTCCAAATAGGAGGTCTTTGTGTGAAACCCAGAGATAGGAGCTGTCTTGCTACACTTGCCTGCCTCTTACTATCACAGCACTTCACAAATATAGGACCCTAATAATTCAGACAAGTCAGTCATGCTTTTTCAGTTCCTGAAAATATTTTTCCTTTACTACGCTAGTGAATAACTCATGCTAATTTGCATATATTTACATTTAGCACTAAAGAAAGAGAATTTGGGGTTGGGACGGCAGCTGAGAAGGAAGAGGGGGAAATGAAGAAGGAAAGGAAAGAAAAAAGAAAATCAGCTTTGAGCAGTTTCAAGTTCTGCAAGTTATTTGTCTTATAACTACAAAAAACATAAATATTAGTAAAGAGTAATAAATTACAGGTTAAAAAATCCCTGCTATTAAGTAAAAACACAAATTTTACTTTATATAGAACTGACTTAAAGACACCACCAGTCATGGTGGTAAATGAAGTTTCCCAGTTTTAGGGCATAAATTTAGAAAGATAAAGTGAGAGAGCATTTTACTATATTTTAGTTGATTCGCTTCAAGGATCTTTGCCTTTTCAAGTTGGCAATGTGCATCTAAAACCTTTAAAAATATGATAGTTAGAAATATGTTTAGTCACATAGAAAAATATTCACAATATGTTGCAGGGTGAAAAAAGAAAAATCTATATTGCATGGTTTCATTTTTAAAACACTAATGAAATAAATTCCTACAGTGAGGAATGAAGACTTCCAGCAGGAAAAGTGAGGCATGTTGATGACCCTGTGAATCAACTTGGGAATAGATCCTCAACCCTAGCAGAGCACTGAGATGACTAGCCTTGGCCCCCAGCTTGCTAATAACCTCACAGGAACTTGGATTTGAAAGCAGACTTGCCAGGATCAAGCACTGATAACAACACTTAACAGCTTTCTAACCTTATGGAACTTTCCTAGCCTCTCTGTCTCCCCAGTTTTGTTATTTATAAAACTGAAATTATAATAACATAAATGTCATAGAGTTTTGCTTTGTTTTGTTTTGGTTTGGTACTGGGGATAGAACTCCAGAGGCACATCAGCACTGAGCCACATCCCCAGCTCTTTTTTATATTTTCTTTAGAGAGAGAGGGTCTTGCTGAGTTGCTAAGGCTGGCTTTGAACTCACAATCCTCCTCCCTCAGCCTCCCAAGCCTCGGGGATTATAGGCATGCACCACTGCACCCAGCCCTTGTCATAGAGTTCTTATGAATAACTTGACTTGTGTGAAACACCTAGAATAGCACCTGAGATATTATAAATGCTCAATAAGATATTACCTTCTATAACTGAGTGGCTTTATAATGTTGTATTAGTTATCTACTGCTGCATAACAAGTTTCCCCTCAAATTTAAAAGCTTTAAAACAACAAATATTTATTTTCTCTCATTTTCTAAAGATCAAGGATGTGAGAGGGTGCATCTGACTCAGTATCTCAGGAGGTCGGTTGCAGCCAAGCTGTCTGAGGAGGCTGCATTTACCATAGGCTGGACTAAAATGGTATCTCCTTCCAGACTCAAGCATGTGGTGTTAGCAGGCCTCAGCTCCTGCTGGCTGTTGACAGATGGCCTCCATACTTCCCCATGTGGGCTTCTCCACAGGCTGCCTGAGTGTTCTTTCAGCATGGCAAAAGAAGCTGGTTCCCCACAGCTATTAAGGTGCAGGAGCATGCAGGACAGAACCAGCAGGAGAGCATCCAACATCAGCATTTCCATCTTTTCTACCTTTGCCTCAGAAGTAGCATACCATCACTTTTGCCCTGTAAACTGGTCACATGGAGAATTCTGGGATGATGTGGTAGGGAACTGCACAGGGGTGTGACCACAAGAAGGTGAGAGTTCAGGGAGCCATCTTGGAGGTTGGCTTCACCAAGAATAGGACTAGGATTGAAAAGTGTAATTCCATTATAAAGAGGAATTTTAAGAGTCAAAGATAGATCTAGGGAGGGACACATACTTAAAAAGTTTCAGGCTCTCTATTTCTAGAGCTGTTCAAGCAAAATCATGTCATCCCTGGCTGAGGAAGAAAATATTCAGGCACAGGGTAATTGATTTTGAATATTCAAATCTC